AGCATTAATTTTTAGAAGAACTTTAGAGAAAGATAAGTCCTAATAATTGTGATGGGGAATAAGTCACATAAAAAAATCAAGAATCAGACTGCAACACACTTTTTAATGATAAAACCAGAAAATAGAAGGTAATAGAACACAACCTTCAATCCCTTCTGAGGAAAACTAACTACTAACTCAGAATGCTGTATAAAGCTCAACTACAAATTAAACATGAAGATTGACTAAAGACATTTTTCAGAGGTGTAACACAAAAAAATTACTGCCTCTGTACTCCTACAGTAAGCTACTGCAGGGCATGTTTTAGTAAGATGAAAGGGTATAAACCAAACAGAGGATAGCATGTGATCTAGGAAAAAAGGAATATAAGACAGAAAAGAAATAAATAAAATTTCCACAATGATAGGTAAGAAAATTTCAATGAAATCAATAGACAAAATGCCTAGAGAATAATTAAGTTCATACTAGAGCAGGATTTTATGGAAGTCTCCAGGAAGGATCTTGCAAATTGTAATTGGTAAACACTGTATATATTTATTGTATGCAAAGTGATGTTTTGATACATTGTATATATTCATTGCAAACTGATTAAATCAAGTTAGTTAACAAATCCATCACCTCACATACTTACATTTTTTGTGGTGTTAACATTAAATATGTACTCTCTTAGCAATATGCAATTATATGATACATTATTATTAGCCATAGTCACCATGCTATACAGCAGACCTCCAGAACGTATTCATCCTCACTGAAACTTTGCAGCCTTTGAGCAGTATCTTCCTATTCCGCCCCCAGCCCCATCCCCAACTCCTCAAAACCCCCAGGCCTTGGCAACCACTGATTCAACCTTTTTAGAGTCTACATGTAAGACAGATCACACAGTATTTGTCTTTCTGTGCTGAATAAGGCATTTTTAAACTCCAGAGAAAATAATTATACAAAATTAAATTTAGTAATAGTAAAGTACATAGTTCAGCTGTGCATAAAATATTTACAGTCTTATAAATATTTTGATATAGATATATTGAGAGGACAGAGGAAGGAAATAGCATGTGTGGGAGTATGTTATATATGTAGACAGACATATGGAGAGAGGGGAGAGAGGGAAAAAGGAAGAAAGGTAAACAGAGGGAAGATAAAAGGGAGCAAATAGATAGTTATCAGTGAGAGCTAAATCAACAACTTCCATAGTAGAAAGTCAATACTTAATGACTATATAAGTCTGTTATTCAGAAATATGGATATAAATACTAGAAGGAACAGATAAAAGAGGAAACATCTAAAACAGTCAAAACTGCTCGTAGGAAGAGGAACATCAGCAAGATGGCAGAATAGGACTTTCAAGGACTCGTCCCTGTCCCTCCCATCTCCCACATTGGAAACATCAATTTGGAACAACTACTCACCTACAAATACCTTTATGAGAGCTATATAAACCAGGTGAGAGATTATAGCACTTGGCTGTAGCACAAAAATCAAAAAGAATGTATTGAAGAGGGTAGGAAGGATGGATTTACGTTACTGGCAGCACCCTTCCCCCAAGCTCAGCCAACACAGGGAAGACAGGGAAGTGAGAACCAGACTTTGCCTCAGACGCTAATATCAGGCCTACATCAGTAAAACCTAGTGTTGGGCAGGCCTTCCTGGTCCCAAACTCCAGGCCAATACTATATACTGAGCATTCAGACATGAGAATTGCTTGAACTCAGAAGGTGGAGGTTGCAGTGAGTCCAGATAGCACCACTGCACTCCAGCCTGGGCAACAAGAGTGAAATTCAGTCTCAAAAAAAAACAAAAACAAAAACAAAAACAAAAAACAAACAAAAAAATTTTAACAGACCTGCCTCGGCATGGGATCCTGCCATTCCAAGTTCCAGGCCTGCCTCAGATTTCAGACTACCCCAGAACCAGGTCAGTCCACACAGCCCCAGTTTACCCCTGCCTCAGTCTAGACTGGCATCCCTGACCTCAGGCACCAGGCTTGTCCCACGCTAGGTCAGTTTTTATGGTCCCACCCTGAGGCAGACTTAGGCCTGACCCCACAGAACCTAGTGCTGGGCTGGCTCCACAGACTAAGGATCCAGGACCCAGGTTCAAGGTCTACTCTTTAGCCCCAGGATCCAGATTAGTTGTTGCAGATTTAGCCTCTAGGCCAGGAATCACACAAAACCATTTGCCAATGTGAATCGAGAATCATAAAAAGATTCATATATACTTCGTACTAGTAATTCCACTTACAGGAATCTATAACAAGGAAATAGGTAGAGGTAAAGTAAAAAATTTTATTTAGATAAATGTTCTTCAAGGCAGAGAAAAACCCAGTATTATCCGATAACAGACTAATAGATAAATATTGGGGAAAGTTACCATGTAATACATATTTGTTGAATGAATTAATGTTTTCACCGAGTATTTAATACAATCAGAAAATATGATACAGTGAAAAAAGTAACATAAAATTCTGTATAAGCGTAATTGTTAATACTCAATATAGACTATAATACCACATCAAAAAAGAAAAAGAAAAAAAAAGAAATAGGAGAAAAGGGCTCAAAGGATTATCTCTAAGTTGTAGGATTATAAATCATTTTTATTTTGTTTTTCATACTTTCTATATTTTTCAAAATTTTATAACAAGAATGTACTTACTCACATGGTCAGAAAACTGTATGAATCAATACAGAGCTATAAATGTACACCAAACATATCCTAAATATTTACGCCCTTAATATTCTTGTTTCACTAAGACTTCAGGTTTACCTTGGTCCAGAGTCACTGCCATTCACATCCAGTTTGAGTTCTTGGGGTTTAGTAAGCTCTTTTTCAGCAACCAGTTCTCTTGACTTAAACACAGCCTGAGTTCTTAACCTGTAAAAATTAATTTTAAGAATTTCTAATCTTGTGAACCTAAATGACAAACTTTGGAAAACCATGCTTTTTCAGCTCGATCCCCAGAAATTATTTTCAAATTAAAACTCAGTCTGTCAAAAATAAATGAGTAATTCCTAAATATACATAAAAATTGATTTCATAGTAACTTAAATTTTCTTTATTTATAGGAAAGGTAGGGAAGATTAAGTTGGTTAGAATATCATTTAAAAATTATATCCCTAATTCAATAGGAGCACTTGAAATCTCTGCCATAGAAAGTTAATTATTCCCTCTATTCATTGTAAGCAAGTATATTTTTGATCACCAGTGTCTCAATGTGAAGTCTAGCACCTAATTATCACTGACCCTGATCACATTTATTTATATAGGAAGCACCCACTTCTCATACTGACATTTTAAAGAGTTAGGGCTACAGCTCACTGACCAACATATTTTCCCTGAGTCAAAGATGAATTCTTCCCAAAGAATTGGAAGACACTGTATCCATCAATGCTTACACTTAGCCCCGCACTGATATGTACTGAGGAGGGAAAGCCATTGAAAACACAGCAAAAGGTCTTCTACCAGGAGTTTGAGTGTCAATCACCGGTATCAAATATGTGATACTTATTCTCTTGGCTTTTAAGAAATGTCCTCATTTGTAAAGTATATTTTTTACCTATGAAATCAAAACATGAAGTGTAAAAACATTAAAATAATATTGTCATTTTCATCATTGTCAAAAGACAGTCTTATAATTCCAACTAAGTGCACAGTAATATACAAAGTACATGGATTAATTACTCTTAGGAACTTACAGTTTAAGACTAATATTTGGTAGTGACACATAGGTAGGTAAATACAGACGCAAAATGCCCAGATCAGGCAATTATGAGAAAAGTGAAAAAACAGTAGCAATAATAGCAGTCAGAGTAGCTGCTACAGCTGTAGTGATGATCTTGATGACAGCAACTACCTTTAAGGAGTGCATTTTATACATACTATTGTACTAATCCTCACAACCACTCTATAACGTAGCTACTTTTACCATTATCTATTTACAAATGACTAAAGTGAGGGCCAGGCACATAACTCTCTCAAGGTGACATGTTTTTCACTGGTTAACACTGAATTTTATCAAAGGTATAAATCATGTGTTAAGGCATATTGTTAGAGTAGGAGACAAAGGTAAATATTTATAATTAGCCTCGATTTTTATTCATTATACATACATTACTTTGCTCCAAAAATGATTTAAGATGGTTCTTGGCACAATCGTGAATAATATTGTGGATAAATCCTCTCTGATCAATCTGGAAAGTGCTCACAAAGATAATACCCTTTCAAAAGTTGTTACTAGCAGTCATGTAGTAGCAAGGTGGCAGAATGAATCATTAATTACAATTTAAGGAAATGTCAATGCCATACCAAATTTGTTCTAAAATGACAAGCTCATCCCAAGATTCTGAACTACTATAACAATTCTGTGCTACTCATTTGGTATTCAATTAGATTGCCTTCCCAATATTTTTCCGGAACATCCTAAGCACTATAAACAACGGCTTGTGAATAGCAGATAGTAATTCATGAATTTAGCTGAAATGAAATTCCCTGGGGCTGGGCACGGTGGCTCACACCTGTAATCCCAGCACTTTGGGAAGCTGAGGCAGGTGGATCACCTGAGGTCAGGAGTTTGAGATCAGCCTGGCCAACATGGTGCAATCCTATTTCTACTAAAAATACAAAAAGTAGCCAGGTGTGATGGCAGGTGCCTGTAATCCCAGCTGCTTGAGAGGATGAGGCAGGAGAATCGCTTGAATCCAGGAGGCAGAGGTTGTAGTGAGTCAAGATCAAACCACTGCACTCCAGCCTGGGCGACAGAGTGAGATGCTGTCTCAAAAAAAAAAAAAAAAAAAATTCCTTGGGGAATGTAAATGACAAGATCAGTAAAGTTATATAAAAGTTAAAATTATGTAAAATTAAAGAGTGAGATTATGTGTATTATATCGAGCCAAGATAAAGTCTTGCTTATTTTAGTACTCTTCACAAAGTTTTGTGCAGAGCAGAGGGCTTAGTAAATATGTACTCAGACAAAGAGAATGAAACTGAATTACAGACCAACATTACACATTAAACAATAAGGTGCTAATTTTGGATATATTCAATAACAAATTATTAGTTATGTGAAAAAGAAACCAGACCTAGAGATTTTAAGTAGTGGGATTTTGACTGTGTTGTAATGAAGAGTCATGGTGTGGATAAATGGAAAAGTAGGACAGAGATATTTAAATCAGAGGGAAAGGTATGGCTTGAGAAAGAAACATGAATGGTATACTGAGAAGATCTCAAGGAAACAAATCTGCCTTTTGAAAAAAAAAAAAAACTATTTCTTAGGAAAAGTGGGACAAATGGGTAGAGAGGTTGTTCCAAATTATAAAGCCTTCAAATATTAGTTTGAATAAACACAACCTAATACAAAATTATCATGGGTTTTTAAAATTCGGAAGTGGCACAAGAAAAGCAATGTCTTAGGAGGATTCATTTGAGATATTCTTGTTATCTGATGCTAATGTGCAGAAGGTTGAATTTCAGATAACTCCAAAGTGATAAAATTACATAAATCTAAAAAGTAGACCAGAGAGTAGGGCAACTTTCAGCCTAGAAATATGAATTGTGATACTGATCAATTAAATGGATAGATTTATGGTCCTAGTTCTGGGTTGCACCAGCTATGATAAAACATGGTGGGAGTAAGCAGGAGAACTAGAGGTGAAAGGTGTTCAATTAAAAATGTCTTGGCAGGGTGCGGTGGCTCACACTTGTAATCCCAGTACTTTGGGAGGCCGAGGCGGGTGGATCACGAGGTCAGGAGATTGAGACCATTCTGGCCAACATGGTGAAACCCCGTCTCTACTAAAAATACAAAAATTAGCTGGATGTGGTAGTGCATGCCTGTAATCCCAGGTACTTGGGAGGATGAAGCAGGAGACTCTCTTGAACCTGGGAGGTGGAGACTGCAGTGAGCGGAGATTGCACCACTGTACTCCAGCCTGGCAACAGAGCAAGACTCCATCTCAAAAAAAAAAAAAGAAACAAAAAAACATCTTCAGGCCAGGAATGGCGGCTCACACCTGTAATCCCAGCACTTTGGGAGGCTGAGGTGGGCAGGTCAGGAGTTTGAGGCCAATTTAGCCAACATGGGAGAAACCCTGTCTCTACTAACAAAAATTAGCCGGGTGTGGTGGTGTGTGCCTGTAATCCCAGCTACTCGGGGAGCCTGAGGCAGGAAAATCACTTGAACCTGTAAGGCAAAGGTTGTGGTGAGCCAAGATCACGCCATAGTACTCCACCCTGGGCAACTCTCCAGAGAGCAAAACCCAAATGATCAAATTAGAATATAGGCAATACTGAAGAGAGAATTTACTGAAGTTAGGAGGGCAAACAAGCACACAAAAAGATGCTCAACATCATTCGTCATTAATTAAATGCAAATTAAGACTGCAATGAAATGTCACTATACACATATTAGAAGAGGTAAAATAAAAATTAATGACAATACCAAATGCTAGCAAGGATGTGGAGAAACAAAGCACTATATAATAACAAAACAGCAATTCAGCTTTTGAAACACTGTTCTTAGGGAAGAATTGCAAAGGGAAGAACAGCCTAAATGTGGATAGGTTTATGAGAATTCGTCATTCAACAGGTCATGCTTCACGGCCAGAAAGGGTTGAATTTAGAAGACTCGGAGCCATCATTTGTTGTATTTTATATTATGGCAGGTAAAAATAAATTTGGAATGATCATAGCTAATCTCACTGCTTCACAATCTAATTCCACACTCCGAAATCTCAAGCTTTTATTTAATGCCTAATATTGTTCACAATGATATCAAACAGCAAAGGATTCTGTGTAAAGGTAGTATCATTTTAAAATGCTGTCTTTGGAACCCAGCCAAAGTTAACACCAGACTGCTCAGAAACAGATACTCTAAGCTAACAATTTGGAAGACAAGATAATCTTTGAAGTCTTCCAAAGAATACAAGGGAATTTACTTAGCAGACATTTGCATCTTGAGCAAGCCAAGAGCCTGAAGAATCTCTGGTTCTACACATCTGCTACTGTAATACAACAGTTTTACACTGTGTTTTCCAAAATACAGACATTGCTAAAGGAACAGGCAGAACTCACCAATTGTAATCCAGTCGAGACTGGTGAAGCTGCTGCTGTTTCAGAAGAAGCTTTGTCTCCTGCTGGGCCAGCAGGTGCTGAAGGCGCTCCTTTTCAATTTCTAGCTCCATTTTCTGAAGCATCAGTTGCCGCCTTCTCTCTTCTGAGATGTGCTTTTTCAAAGTTTCACTGGGTTGTAGCACCCTTCCACCATGCACCAGAGATGCCCAAGAAAGACCACAATAACTGCATGATTCTGGATGTGTCTTAGGATATTGAGAGGCCGTGTTCATAGGGTGGCTCTCACGAACACGATCTGCAGCAAGTCTGCGACCACAGCACTGACTAGGAATAGGCTTAAGGTGTCGACATTCCTTTCTCTGCAATTCTTCTTGGGGCATTTTCTCTGTCAGGACTGCTTCTACTGGTTTTCTCCCTGGAGATTCATAATTACATGTTCTGGTCTCTGATGGTATCTTCTCTAGATCATCTTTGGGATGACGAGGAGTTACTGGTTTCAAAGAATTATTCCTAAACCCTATAAGGGATTCTGAAGCTGAATCCTGGATCGCAGACTTAGGTCTTTGCTTGGTTTGATAGCAGGTTTGTGGTCTGGCTACACTCAAGTAGGAACCATCCAGTTCCACAGATGAACACTGGAGAGTGCTTTTCCTACTGGATACCTAAAAAGAACCATAAGATTACCTGTCAAATAAGAACACAATAAAACAAGTTCTTTCTATTGGTTTTTCAGAAATCAGTGATATATGTTTACCAAGCCAAAGCCATTATTTTGTCTTAAATATTAAATTATAGAATTCACACAGCTAAACAGACTTGTGCCCCAAAGCTACATCCATTTTCAAACAACCTACACTTCAGTAAATCCATATAAAGACGAGAAAAATAAAGTGCTGCTACATATTGCTTAAGCAAGATTCTTGGTGATTTCAGGAGTTGCAAATAATGAGAGTGACATAAAATCAATTTTGAGAAGAGGTAAAAGCCTTAAATATTAACATCTTAAAATGTTTACTTTTGAATACTGACCCAAGGAATCCATTCAGTCACCTTAAATACTCTTTGGCCATTACACAGGATGAGATTTGATGTAAAACATTTCATCTTATACCAAATAGAATGTAACTTATTGGTAGAACTTTGATGAGGTTTTATAAATGTCTACAGAACACAGATAAAACCAACCACTTTCAACAAAATAGGACTCTAAGCAAAAACAGTTATTTAAATACAAAACATTTAATTTCATCTACAAACAATGATTTTTCAATTAATCTAAACAAGTGATTACAGTCTGACAGAACTCAGGCAGAAAGGAAGCAGTTGCAAATTATCTCTGACATGTCAATAGTCAGATTTTGCAACATTTTAGCTGCAAGCCTGTTCTATCAGTGAGAACAAAACTTAATCTGTATCAATGATTCTCAAACTTTAATGTGTATCAGAATAACCTGGAGGGTGCTTGTTAAACATGAAACAACAGCTTCATCCCCAGAGTTTCCAAATCTTTCTGTCTGGAACAGAGTCAGAGAATTTGCTCATGTTGCTGATCTGAGGCCATACTTTGAAAACTACTGGTCTATATAATGGAACATCTCCGTATGCCTTACTATTAGCCTTGGCCTAGGAAGGTTGAATTGTTATACTTAGCTCATCTCTGAACATTGTTGACTTAGTGCAACTAAGCAACTTTTCTTCAGTGTATTTCAGAAACATGGTATATCTAGATTCCAGTTTGTCTAAACAGAAATATTCTAGTTTAATGTAAATGTTGCAGGTGTTGCAGATGAGCAACTTGCTTATGAAGGTGGACACTTGTAATTAACAAAATAATGAAAGATATTGATGTGCAAGAAAGAATCTTAAACTAAACAGATGAAGGTGCATTTCTGAAAATGAATCCAGCCAACGATCAGACTCTTCCAAGGGTAGCCCTTTAGAATATAAAAACTTCTCTTCAATTTAGATCTGGAGCACAGCAAAAAAGGGCCTCCAACTCCAATTACTTAACTAGCAAGATGGGTTGTTTGAAGATGTGTTATTCCTAGCAGCTGTTATTTCTTTTGGGCAGCCAGAGTATAGCCTTTAACACAAATTGGAAAGAACAAATCCACCTGTGGAGAAGTTATGTGTTCAAGACCTCTTTACTCTAGATACATAGATTCAGTCTTTAGTGAAAGATAAAGAGAATATAAGAGAAAGAAACTAAGCAGATCTCAACAAGTTATTTGAAGTGCCCTTGACAGCTTCCACTATCACTTCCTCTTCCCTCAGGTTTTCATTCAAAGCCCATTTATGTTAACACTTTACTTTCTTGCCATTTTCTATTTCTATTCAAACAAATCCAAAATATCTTCTGCATATTGAACACTTACATTAACCAAACAAGCGAAAATTCTTAATCTTCTATCTATATCCTATGAAATAACCTCACTTTTCACATACAATTATTTGCATGCTAAGGGAAGCTTATTTGCTCAATGCGCAAGAGAAATACGACTTTTTCAGTAAACAAATATATTACAACTTCTGTATTAGTTTCCTACTGGGGCTATAACAAGTTAGCCAAACTCTGTAGCTTAAAATAACACAAACGTATTCTCTTACAATTCTGGAGGTCAGAAATTTGAAATCTGTTTCACTGGGCTGAAGTCAAGATGTCGGCAGGGCTGGTTCCTTTGGCTTTGAAGAGAGAATCAGCTTCCTTGCCTTTTTTAGTTTCTCGTGGCCACCTGTATTTCTCACTTTTATGGCCCTTCCTCCGTCTTTACACTGTATCACTCCAACTCCTGCTTCCATCATTATCACACATTGCCTTTTCCTCTGATTCCTTCTGCTCCTTCTAATAAGGACCACTTGGACTTTATTGGGCCTACCTGGGTAATACAGGTAATCTCCCCCTCTCAAGAGCCTTAATCACATCTGCAAAGTCTCTTGCTTTACAAAGTCCTTTGTGACACGTAATGTGACATTTGGGAATTAAGACATGGTCACATTTGGGGGGTATTTTCAGTCTACTATGACCTATTTAAAAAAAAAGAAATAATTTAAAACAACTGAAATGGCTATCTACTCCACAGACATAAAACAACTGAATGAAAAATGAGATCCCTAGTGTAAGGGGAAGAAAATCCCACCAAATTTATTTTGCAATAATTGCAAATGATGGACTGATGGGTAAAAAGTATCAACTAACAGAGATACCCAGCAACACCGTGTTTCTTATCCTATGATAAAAGATGGAGGGCTATTACAGTGATTAAGATTTTAATTGAATGACTGTAGTAATGCTAAAGGATTTCCATTTAAATGAGAATGCATCACATCTAAGAAGACTGGCTCTTCTTCAAAGAAGACATGCAATCCTGTGCACCAAGCAGATGACAAGCAATAGAATATGAACCAGTGCTGGGCAAAATTTCTAATAAGCTACTTCATAAAAAATTAATTTTATTTTACATCTAAAGGGAAACTCTAGTCCACATTAATCTCTCCTACTCTGAACTTCTATAGTACTTACTGTCAGTACAAGTATTTAACATTTATCACCTGCTACTTAGTATGGTAAACCATCTTTCACTATAATTAATATATATTTCAAATGACAGCTAAGTTTTTAAAAGATCTAGAAATTTAAATTAAGTATTTTATATCATTATATATTCAAATCTATATTTTATAGTCTCATTTTTGTTTCATAACATTATTTACATACGTCCATTTTTAGGTACTAACCCATTCTACACTTACTTTAATGGTACTCATTGTCAAATTATCCACAAAATCAAGTATTTGGAATAATTTTAAAAACTTTTTTTCAGGTAGTTAATGTTTCATGTTTCTGAGAGGTAGTACAGCTTCATGATTTTAATGCATGCTTTGCTCAGAGGGCAATGCTCTGTCAATTACCTGCTGGGTTACTATCCATGTGTAATAGGCAGAATTCTAAGATGGTCCCCAAGATTCTCACCCCCCAGTGTACACACCTTTATTATCTCCTCTTCTTGAGTGTGGGGAGGACCTGTGAATATGACAGGATATAAATCCTGTGATTATATCACATTTTATGGCAAATGAGACTTTTCATATGTAATTAAGGTTCTTAATAAGGTGACTTTGAGTTAATAAAAGGGGAGACGATACTGGGTAGGCTTGACCTCATCAGGTAAGCCCTTTAAAAGAAGGTCTTATCCTGCTCCCTCATCCCCTACCCCATACAAAGTTGGAGATTCTCCTGCTGGACATGAAGAAATAAATTGCCACGTGTGGGAGGGCCAATCAAGTGGGAGAAAGCTCTGGAGCAGAAAGCAGTCTCTGGCCAATAGCTAGTAAGTAAATGGGACATCCATCAGACAGCTGTAAGAAACTAACTTCTGCCAACGACCATGTGGATTTGGAAGAGGATCTTGAGCTCCAGATAAGAATGCAGCCCATCTGAACTTTAATTTTGCAGCATTGTTAACAACCTAAGCAGAGGACCCAACTAAGTTGTGCCCATACTCATGACCCATGGAAGCTGTTGTGAAGTAATAAATCTGTGTAGCTTTAAATTACCAGGTTAGTGGTAATTTGTTACACAGCAATAGAAAACTAATATAGCATATTACTCAAATTGCCCAAGCCTCAGTTGCTTATCAGTAAAACGGGGATTTAAAAAAGCATCTATCTCAAAACTGAATATGGTGGTGAGAAGATGGGCAGTTATCAAGGATGCCCATTTATAAAAGTCCAATTAACAAAAAAAAATCACTCATATTATTTTTTCCAATGAGAACACTGTATGTGGTGTGTAGAGGAGGTGGGGGAGAAATCCTCAAAGGGCATGTTCAGTTACAACAGGTTATATCTAAACTGTCTTCTAAAGTGAATGAGTTCAGTCACTTACCTTTATTTTGTTAAAGCTGAGTTTGCAAGTCAGGCCAGAATTTAATTGCCTGAGATAACAGAGAAGTTATTCATCTTTCTCTTTCATACAAAATATGTCAGTCTTACGCTAACATCTTGCACTGCCTCCTAGGGTTTTTGTAATGATTAAGTGAAATAATTCATATAAAGTGCTTCGACCATGTCTAACATAAAGTTAGTATTCAAAAGAATGCTTCCCATGATTGTTATTAGTATGATTCTTCTCATTTAATTCTGATTCAACAATTTTTGAAGGAAAGAGCTATATCTATCCCTCTGTGTACATTGCATTGGGGCTCACACATTCTCAATAAGCTTTGGTCTGCTATATAAGTTTAACAGAAAAATTCAAGATGGAGTATGGGTCACAGTAACTAAAGAAAATTAGAATCTCCAATTAGGCTGAATCATGTGCTATAAAGGAAGAAAAGAGAAACAGAAAACTCTATGTAAGTAAGAATCTAAATATAAGAAATTAAGTTATTAGTAGAGTTGAGACTGATGTTGCCTTTAGTACACAAATAAGTAACAATGGGCCTGAATGAAGCAGAAGTATTTTTCTTTCTGAAGCTGCTCCAGGATTTCTATACGTGCAAATATAACTTCTCTTAACTAAGGCTTAACCAACACAAACACCAAAATGGCTGCCTCTGGCATATGGGTTTAATATGATTGTTTTCTGAGACATAACACTAACTTAGAAATCAATGTTTTTAAACATTGACACATAATTTACAATAAAATGCAAAGACCTTCA